TGGGTGGTACAGCTGTAGCTGGACTCGTACCCTGGTGCAGGGATATAGCTGCAGGCGGGGGTGGGGAGCAAATGGGGGCAGGCAGGGGCTGTGGGTCAGCAGTGAGGGGCAAGGGCAGGGGGAGGGAACCAGCATATCAGTGCTGCTCAGCATCCAACTTCTTGATGAGTGAAGTGGGCAGGGGCAGCTCTGATTTTTTCTATGACAAAAAAAACCCAAAAAAGCAAACGCCAAAGTGTATAGCTATTTAGAATTCATTTTATTATGATGATAGAGGCACTGGTAGGCTTCCAGATTGCTTTAAAATGGTAAATATATCAATAAAACATTGCCCAACTGGTCTCTCTCTATATAGTGGTATTTCATTTTAATCATGGTAGAACATGTATTTGGGTTATTTTCATGAGATAATTTGGGTTCCTTATCAAAGAATTTGCAATTTTTAAACAGGGAACACCAGGATCTCTGGTGGTGAGGTAAGTGCCAAGACCCAGGCAGAGGTGACGGCCCAGAGCCAGCACCAAGGACCCAGTTGGAGGGCAGATGAGGTAGCTGAACTCCTGGCCATTTGGGGCAAGGGGGACATGTTTCAACGGTTCAAAGTGGGCACTGCAAGGAGCACATCTGGGCAATAGCTGCCCAGATGGCAGAGTAGGGGCACCAGAAGACATGACAGCAGTGCCACTCAAAGGCCAACTGTACAGCCACGGCCCACTGGCAACTATCCCAGAGGTGCAGGTGGCTCTGCTACAGTGCCCATACCACAGCCCAGGCAGGCGCACAGCCATGGGGCCACAGGTCCAAGGGGGTGGATACTGTTGCAGGTGGCAGCAGGTCACAACCAGGCAGCAGCCCTCACTGCCAGACTGCTGCAGTGGGTAAAGGGTGCAGGGGCCACTCTAGGTTAAGGCTGCTGCAGCAGTCCAGCTGGCACAAGGGGCTAGTGTCCCCAGATACCAATTGGCTGGACCTCAGGAACTCCCTGAGCTGCTAGCCAGGGCAGCTTCTTATACTGCTGGTGCACAGGTGCTGGCCCCAGCCTCTAGCTCTCCCTGATCAAAGATCCGGGAGGAGCTGGGCAGGATCAGTTTGCCTCAGTGACACAACTTGTCCCACACCAGAGTGCATGTTTAGGCACATGTGCTGAGGCACAAATCTTCGGCACAAATTTGTGCCACAGCTATTTGAGCTGCTGCAAATGCAGGTGCCTGAATGTGTGGATGCACCCATATGCTTTTGTCTTTGCATCACTTCATATTAGTATTTTCTGTTCCCAGTACATTCTATGCATATTAATGACCAAATGTAAAATTTTGTTTCTCTCATTATATTAATGGAAGAGTTTGAATCTTTTTACGTTTTCACAGAAAAGTAGGGCTGGAAGGGCCTTCATCAGGTCATGTAGTTTAGCCCCCCTGCTCAAGGCTGAATGGTCTCTGATTAAACCATTTTCATCAAATATCTGTTCAACACATTCTTGAAAATTTCCAGGCATGGAGCTTCTTTCTGTAGCCTGTGCCACTACTTGGTCACCCTCATATGAGAAGGTTTTTCCTGATCTCCAACATACATTTATTTTCAGTTTGAAAATAATAGAAAATGAAGTGACATCAAGTTAATTACTGTTCATTAAAATTCATTTTTTGTTCATGCAGGGTGTGTGTGTATGTGTTAACTTTTGGCTTCTTTCTTTCCCTCAGTCACTTAACGCATACTAAATCCAAACAGTAAGTGATTTGCTTTTCTATAATAATCCACATATATTCTGTCCAATCATTTTGGGTCTTCCATTTAGGAAAATAATTCTGTGAATTCCTGTTCAGATGGTATTTCTTAAATGCATATAGATCTTCAAATGCCATACTGCTCAGAGCCCTGAGTTGCAACTATTTCTGGAAGTAGCTACACAGATAGCTAGTAGACAGATGTTGGCCAAGCTGCTAGGTTACATTATAAGATTTTTAATGACCGTAACAAATAGGTAAGAGCTCTGTTTGTAAAGTCTGATCTGAAAGTTACCCTAAAAGAAACTACATGGATCTGAGCTTATATACCTGAGTAGGCTGGAGGGATTGCCATTATAGAAACTGATGCACTGAGGAGACAGCTGAAAACAAGTACTTTGAATATCATCCAGTCAAAGATAGGAATGCTGTGTGATGTTAGTCCTTTTATGGATTTTTTTCAGCCTGAATTCACCTCAAAAGAACAAGCAGAATTTATTTACAAGATAGTACAGTACTTATGCTGTTATGTTGACAAAGGTCATATTTTTTTTTGTAACGCCCATGGGACAAATGAATCTGGAGAAAGATCTTCTTAGATGACAGCATTCATTTTAGTTACTTTAAGTTGTCTGATTTGAATATTTCTGGAGGAATCCCCAGTTGTCAATCATATTTGTGTCATATCCTATTTTACTAAATGGAAGTGCTAGTGGACAGTTAATTTACATATAACAAAATACAGTGTACTCATTATTTCTGTATTTAATGGCCTTAGAAAAAGGGTTTTGACCTAATTCCTCTCCCTCAATTTGCTATACTCAGAATAGAATCCACTAACGTTTATCTTGAAATAAATCTAAACAAAATGTGCATGTGAACACAGTTTATTTTCTATTGTGTATTATATTTAGCAAGGCACTTGCTGTTATTCCCTGTCAATTAAATGAATGGCTGTGAACTGTCTGTGTAAAACAGATTTTCCTTTACATGATTAGGTATGCTTGTATTCTTCTAGTTAAGAATTAACATAGGACCGTCTGAGCCAAGGAGCTCAAAAAGGTTAGGGTTTGGTGATGTGGTGAGGAAGAAGCTAACTGCTATTCCAAGAGTGGACTCTTTCAGTTTGAGAATTGAAATTTAAATGTGTGCTAATTGTTTACCAGCATACCACTTCCTTTACATCTAACATCACTGCCAGTCAAACTTAAAAGAAAACTATCAAAAGGGGCCATGTAGTCCTTTTTTCATTTGGTCCTAACGCAGATAAAGAATCCAACTGGAGCTTTGAAATGACAGGTTCTTCTACATCTGAAATTAGAAACTGAGAAGGATGAGCATAGAAATTTCCCCCAATGCTGCCTAAGATTAAAGAAACTGTAATGTTGAGTTGATTTGACCCAAGAATTAATAAAAATGTTTGAGTTTAAGAATATTTCACTAAGTAAATACAATAAACTGCAGATGAGTTTGGAAATTGTTTCATCTCTGATTTTGGATCTTAAATATGGGTCAGAAAGTTCCCCACACTAGAGAGAAAGTGCTTACTGGTAAGCTAGCATAATCATGTAAAATTGTGAATGGTTTAAATGTCAAAATTATTTCCCTGTGCAAAATCATGGGGAAAAAGCTCACAGACATATCTTACCAATGCTGAGGCTAATTTAAGAAAATACTAATTAGGTTAACACTCTTCTGTCCCAGTTCAGAACCTGCATTTTTTTTATGTGGACTAGAGAAATATACTTGTTCTCTTCCATTTATAGTTTTTGGATTTAAAATATATGTGTAGGCATAGTATTTAGATTGACTTAACCCTGGTTTAAACTGACAAAAAAATGGTGTGCCCAATCTAAGTTTAGTTCATAGTAGGAGGTGAGCTAACTTAAATCAAGAAAGGGTTAACCTGATCTAGGCCTGCATGCCTTTAAGCACAGACCTGTGGTGTTCCGACCCTTCCCCTCCCATCCCCCTCCCACCCAACCCTGGGCAGTTTTTTTGCCTACCAACCCCCACTGCAGGCCCACCAATGCCCACTGAACCTGACAGTCCCTCCCACACCCCAAGCCAAACCACCTGGTTCCTGATCCTGTACCAGCCCCTCCCCATACCCTGAGTTACTTACCTTGGGCTTCCTGCTTCACTCCAAACACCAGCAAACACTTGTACATGATGATCACAGTCTAGGTTTAGATGGTTTGAAGTAAGCCACCTAAAGCTGGATGGGGCATGGTAAATGTTTGTATGTACCCAAATAAACTATTCTGTAGTTGATTTGTTGTTCCTTACTCTGGAACTACAACTGTGCCATTGTAACCTTATGAGAAAAGAGTTAGCATTGTCTCTCGTTTGCAATCTCTTTTGCTGACTTTATGTACTGAGCTCATCACTGTAGTATCTGCATGCCTTCCAGTGACACTAAGCAACATTAATTATACTCTATCTTTGAAATGGAAGTTGGGACAACCCAAATTGAAATCTGAATTTACATTTAGATAATCAAGCACTGTTTCCAATTACTACTGCCTTGACTTCTCTTTCAGCATTTTTTTCACCTATTTATTCACCTCTAATTCTATGCAAGTGAAATGGGTTGGTTATTCTGTAATACATTATATCGATATTGTATATTTACCTATTTGAGATGTTTATTGTATTAATATATTGGTTTAATTTAATGGAGGATTGAAAGGGAAACCCAAGTTGGGGAGGAAGAAGGCTGGATCAAGATGAATGTTTTTTCAACAAATGCTGGATGATTGTTAAGGGGAAATGCCAATGATAAAAGAACTGAGAACAAGAAATTCAGAAGAACTGTAGCAGTTTTTTAAAAGGTCTATCTCTTTAAGATAGTGAGAGGGAGTTCCAGTAGAACCTTATTCACAAAGTTACTCTTACCTAGTTCACCACCTTTTGGGAAAACAGATGTGTTTGCGTAGACTGTAGCTTAAAAAAAAAATCATTTTGACTGCTAAGCTAAAGTATACTTTCACAGTAATAAGGCTAGCTACCAAATATGGGCACGCTTTCTTGAAGGAAAAAACTATAGGTGTCAACTCAGTTGCACCTACGTAATAACAGCAGTTGATGCGCAAGTTACTATAGTCTAAGTGCCATTTTAAGAATGAGAGAATCACCTACCTCTACACTGAAAGGCACTGAAACACTCCTGAGACTGCATTGCAGCTTATTGGTAAATTGTATAATCCAAATCATATTTCATGTGTCCATAAAAGGTAAATAATCAGGTGAATGAATAAGCAAAAGTAATATTACCTTGTAACGGGTTATCCATTGTGATATGATGATTTGTACTGGGAACTTTGACTATTCCTCTTCATGATTTATATTCTTGCTGTTGTCATTTAGATTCGCTTATAATCCATGTCTATATTGTACTGGCAGAAAAAATGTTTTGTTTTAGGCTTCATATTTCATAATGATAACCTGGAAAATATATCAGTGTTTTAAATTTAAATAGTTTAAAGTATGTACAGCAGTCCTAGACATACTGTTACTCCAGATTATAGCAATCTGAAAATTTAAAAAATGAAATAGTAAAATTCAGGGCTAGTTGTATAGGATTTCTGAATCCCGAAACTTTAAGACCTTTCTCAGTAAAGAAAATGCTAATACTTACAAAGCTTTATGAAACAGAACAAAACAGTTTAATAGAAATTAATAATGGGAATATAGATATTGCTCTTGATCTGATCTAAGTAGTTCTGGTGTTGATTCCATCTTATGAACTCTATGCATGACCCTGCACAGGTCATTTAATCTCTCCATGCTTCAAATGCTAATTTGTAAAATTGGAATGATACAGTCCACATTATCAGGCATATTATAAGAATCATCTGATAAAACTTTTGAGGTACTCTTATCATAAGGTCAAAGGCACAGAAACACCTAGAAAAAATAAGGAACTGCGTTAGGATTTTAGGACATTTTTGGCCTAATGACCCTACATTTGTCTTTATCCCTCTCTGCATTTCATTTCTAATAAGTTGAACAGTATTATCTTTTCTCTAAGGGTTAATGGGTGCATCTACCTACATGTGGTCTTTACCGTAGTTGACTAATTACCTTCATGAGCTGGGTCTTATAAGCCTCCAAGGATGGAGATTCAAGAACCTCTCCCGGTAACCTGGTCCAGTGTATTACTGCCCTCCTGGTGAGAAAATTCTTCCTAATATTTAACCTAATATTTAACTATTCTGCAACTTGAGACCATTGCTCCTTGTTCTGTCATCTGCCAGCACTGAAAACAGTCTAGCTCCATCCTCTTTTGAACTTCCCTTCAGGTAGTTAAAAGCTACTATGAAATCCCTTCTCAATCTTCTTTTCTGCAGACTAAATAAGCCCAGTTCCCTCAAAGTCTCCTCATAAGTCATGTGCCCCAGCCCCCTCACTGTATTCATTGTCTTATGCTGGACGCACTCCAATTTGTCCGCATCCTTTCTGTAGTGAGGGGTCCAAAACTGAATTCAGTACTCCAGATGTGGCCTTACCAGTACTAAAATAGAAGGAAATAATCACTCCCCTTTCCCTGCTAGCAACTCTCCTACCAATGCAGCCCAGTGTGCTCTTAGCCTTCTTGGCAACAAGGGCACACTGTTGGCTCATACCCAGCTTATTGTCTACTGTAACCCTCAGGTCTTTTTTTGCAGAGCTGCTGCCCAGCCAGTCGGCCCCCAGCCTGTACTGGTGCATGGGATTGTTCTGTCCTAAGTGCAGGACTTTGCACTTGTCCTTGTTGAACCTCATGAGATTCCTTTTGGCCCAATCCTCCAATTTGTTGAGGTCACGCTGAATCCTAGCCCTACCCTCCAGCTTATCTACTACTCCCCCAATCTTGGTGTCACCTGCAAACTTGGTGAGGGTACACTCTATGCCATCTTCCAGGCTATTGATGAAGACATTGAACAAAACCAGCCTCAGGACTGACCCCTGGGACTCTCCACTTGATAGTAGCTGCCTACTATATATCAAGCCATTGATTACTACACATTGAGCGCAATGCTTCAACCAGTTTTCTATCCACCTTATTGTCTATTCATCCAGTCCATACTTCCTTAGCTTGCCTGCAAGAACTATACTGTGGCAGAGTAATTTACTCTGCTGAAACACATTTTCATCTGTGAAACAATTGTTTGTTTCTTGTCCAATATATTTTTCCTCTGTAATATAAAATATTCATGCTGGGAAAATGCTAGCAAAGTTGTCGCACATTTTTCTATTGAGATGAAAAGTGTTCAAAAACGGGGGGAAAAACACTATATCCTAAGTGGCAGTAATATTTTTAATATAAAAGCATAAAGAAATTTAACAATTTAATGGTAATGTAACATTAGCATAATATGCAACAATTCATTTTACAACTAACAAAAGATTATGTCATTATCAGCACTTCTTTTGTTCAGTTTACTCTTGAAGATAACCTACAGAGAGACAATCTTGGATCATTCTAGGGTGGACTTTAATGATCAACTTAAACTTTCATAACACAAGAAACCCCAGTGGAGTTTACAAGTCTATTTTCTGCAAAGGTTCAAGTTCAGTAAGGCCAGAAAGGAACTCATTACAGTTTGATGGGTTGTATAACAAATGTTAATAGCTTCACATTTAATTTAAGCCAGCCTATATTTTTATAGCAAGCCCTTTTATAGCACCCTCAATTTATTAGAAGATTTTTTAACAGTGTAGAAAAATCAATAAGGTTTGCACTGTATGAAAATCTTGCACAGTGTTCTGTAAAAATCACAGCTAAGAAACCTGTCAGGTAATGTAGGCAAATATCCTACATGATGGCTTGATACCACCAAGTATGCTTTTTTTTTTGGCAAGTAGAGGGGATATGATAGTTATGCCATCACCACATACTCAGTTCTAGGTGTCTTAAACACCTTTATAGGATATGTTTACTTGGCCATAACATATCCAGCAAGGTTGTTTCCAAGCATGTTCCAGACAGAAAAAATATGCTAATAAGCAGGGATCTGGGTTTTCTGTTTCACTCTGTCTTCCTACAACCTCTGTTGCCATCTTGGGTGGATGCTCCTAGCACAAAGGTACAGGTAAAAAACAAGTTACTGCAGGATGAACTAAAATGTGAATTTGTAGCATGTAAGCTCTCTCTTAGTAACTGCCTGCTGTGATGCTGAAGTAAATGTGAGGAAGCACACACTGCAGGTAAGTGAGTTGCCTTCCCATTTGCTGTGGGATAAGAGTATGCATACAAGCAGGTACTGCAGAAGCGCTGACATGCTGAAAGTACTTTAGGTACCTGCTGTGGAATTTAGTTCCTTAAGTCCAAGGCTGAAATGCATAAAATGTACACATGAATGATTGATTAGGCACCTGAGAGTCTATAGTCACCAGAGCTTTATCTTAGAAAGTTACTAAGATGCACAAAGTTCTGCTACTGTATATGCCCAGAGATGCTGCCATTCTAACACCTATCTCATGACTGCAACCATTTAGGATTTGCAAACCAGGCATCTGTGCTATGATTTCTGATGAGACTAGTATAGTATATGCCCTAACACACACCAGCAGTGGTAGGTTCAGCACAAACCACAGCAGTCATAGCCATTTACATTCAAAGACATGGACAGAGATGGGGTGGAAAAGGAAAGGGAGGCTGGTGTGCCAATCTCTGAGGTAATGCCTAAGTGGTAAAGCACATGCCCAGAAAGTGAGACCTACATTCTAGGCCTTCTTAAAAGGCTTAAACCCATATCTCCCACCTCCCAGTTGTATACCTTAAACGCACAATTATATTCAAGCTGTGCCATTGGGCACAGAGAAACTTAAGGTTCATAAAGCAAGTGAAAGAGAGCATATATAACTGTAGCTCAATAATGAGAAAATTTCCCTGGAAGGAGGAATGTCTAGTATCTGATCCTTGCTCCAGGGATTTCTGAGATATCTTACATTCAAGGATCATTGGATAGCATCTGTCAGACAGACAGACAGACAGTCTGTCTGTGTATGTGTATGTGTGTGTGTGTGTGTGTGTGTGTGTGTGTGTGTATATATATATGTGTGTATGTATAGCTATAGATATTAGGGCTGTCAAAGCTTCAGTTGCTGATTCGATTCAGAGGAGATTCAGCCCGATTCAGTGGCTGAATCTCAAAATCTGAATCAAATCAGGAGACCAGTCACAAGGTCTGAACTGATTCGAAGCCTCTGAATCAATTCAGAAAAGATTCAGAGGAGATTAAGAGATTTGGGCAGTCCCTACTTACCACTGCAGGAAGCTAGATCCAGGCTCTGTGCTGGTAAGTAGGGGGCAGGGGAAAGGCTGTAGAAGAGCAGAGGGGACCATGGGGGGGGGGGCCTTCACTAGGCCCCATCCCCTGTCTGCTCCCCCAGCTCCCCTGAGTGCCCCCGACCCCTGCCTGCTCTCCCAGCGCCATCAATGGCTGCACCACCTGACCCCAGCATCCTGGCACTTTTAAAAAAAAAAAAAAGCCCTGCACTCACTGGCTGCTGTAGTGGCCATTGGGGTCTCTGTGGGGTTCCTGGCAAAGCCCTACCCCCACACAGCATGGGGCAGTAGGGGGCTGCAGGGATCACCCCCATGACTGACAGGAGCCAGAGAGTGTGGTGCTTTTTTTTTTTTTTTTTTTTAAGTGCTTGGATGCAGCCAGGGCTTTTCTTCTGTGGGGACAGGCAGGTGGATGTCATCGGGGCGCAGAGGGTGATCCCCCGACACTGGGCATATATGTAGACACTGTGCCTGAAAGTAGTTTACTTCAGCTCAAACTGCTCTGGAGTTTATTGCTTTAAATTAATTGTATGTGTAGATGCACCCAGTAAGAAATATTTTCATGTCAAAAGGAAATCCATGACCTTTGTTACATAAATTACATGTAGGCAGGTTATCATAGATTTATGATGAACATCAGCAGTTGATAACTTCAGCATATGCCCCATGTTTTATTACTTGTTTGTCTGGAACATAGGTATGGTGGGGTTCAAAATGATAGGGACCTCTGAGCACTACTGAATTACAAATATCACACAATGGTAACTTAATTGAAATGATTGGCATTAAACTGGTACTGTTCTTAATTGAGCAGTTCTATGCACAACAGCTAGTTATCTTAAGGAAAAACACAGTTCAGAAAGATAATATTAAATATAACTAAATACTATATTATGTATAAATCCCATATATCTTTAGGGTTCTACTCAGGTTTTTCTTCCTTTTCTTTTTTTGCCTATTTTTCTGTTGCTGTAAAGAATTTTTTCTACTGCTTTACTTTCTTCCAAAGCTTGTGATTAATACTTGGATTATTCTGCCCTTGTCATTAAAAACATCATCTGCTTTTCTGGCAGAATTTTTAACATATTCACAATAGAAATATTACAGATTCACCAATGCCAT